AGGAAGCACATGTGTGTCAGTCTGTGTGTTACTATGTACAGCCAGTGAGAGGTAAGACTAGGATTAGCTTATCATGTGTATACACACAATGAGACCATTCATACTCCATTCAAGTCTACTATTATTAGTGAATCTAAGGACCATTCTTCATGTACATACTCCATAGAAATGGGCTATATATCAGCTATTATATTACACTACCACAGTGTGTGTGTGTACATATTGTTCACAGGTGAGGTTGTTTGTTAATGGTTTACTTTGCAAGTGCATCAACAATCTGTTCCTCTTCTTGTGACTCTTCCCTCTCTTTCTCGAGGTGTTTCTCCATTAGTTGTTCAAATGAGACTCCTTCTTGTTGAGCGTTTATGTCCTTTATCTCTTCGAGCACGTCAAGAATGTCCATCTCTCTCCTTGACTCTTTGGTCCTGTTTTCTAATGCCTAATGAAGAAGAGAGAGGGAGAGGGAAAAAAGTTTTGGATAAAATAAGACAACCATTGAATAAAATTAAGGTATTAATTATTTTAAATAATAAAGAAAACTACAAATACAAAGATCAGAATTACTACTCTAGTTTAAACACTAATTATTGTGATTAAACTATTATACCAGCATTGGGTTGTTGGCCTCCTCTTCTTCTTTCTCTTGTTGCTTGGGCTCAATCTCTCTCACAGCAATGGCCTCTGCTTGAAATGTTCTATAAGCACCAGCCTCAGCAGCATAATCAGTATTCTCTGGATCTGTCTAATAAATAAGGAGAGATACAGAAAAAAGATAAGGAGGAATAATGTATGAGAGAGAGAGAGAGATACATTATAAAAATTATCACTAGAAACATAGCATAAGGACATCAATATGTATCAGAAAATGTAATAAAAATGGGGGGTGAGTTTGGAGCCATTTTTTGGAAAACTATGGGCTATAGCCTTTGCTTTTTTCCAAAAATTTGCTAATTTAAAAAATGGCCATAACTCGAAAAATTGAAGTTGGAATCAACTCAAACTTTCTACATAGCATAAGGACATTAATATTTATCAGAAAATGTAATAAAAATGGGGGGGGGGGGGGGTAAATTTGGAGCCATTTTTGGAAAAACCATGGCCTATAGCCTTTGGTTTTTTCCAAAAATTTGCTAATTAAAAAAATGGCCGTAACTCGAAAAATTGAAGTCGGAATCAACTTAAACTTTTTACATAGCATAAGGACATCATCAATATGTATCAGAAAATGTAATAAAAATGGGGGGTAATTTTGGAGTCATTTTTCAGAAAAAATCATGGGCTATAGTACAGGAATTTTTTCAAAAATTAGCCCATTTTTTAAAATGGCCATAACTTAAAAAATTGAAGTTGGAATTGGCTCAAACTTTCTACATAGCATAAGGGCATCAATAT